CTGGGCTAGCCCCGTTGGCGTTTGTTTGCACCCACTAATTTATTGAACTCACATGTCAATTTCACTCTTTCAATTTTGAAATTCAACTTTATTAATAAGTTATTAGAAGCTAGTTTCACCATCATTTCGTTTTTAGTTTTCAATTTTTGTTTTCACTTTGAAAATTGAAAACTAAAAACATGTTTAGTAATCTTTTTCTTTTTTTTCCCTTCATAGTGAAGGTAATTTTTTTATAATTAAAAAAATATAAAAAATACTTTTTTTTGCCACTCTTTCTCGTTAACCAATTATACACCATCATACATGTATTGCACTCCAGTCCCAAATCCTGTTATATGGGACCTTTCAACTTGGATATGGTCACTCAACTCTTGCGTTTGGCCACTAACCTGACCGGAGCTTTGGGACCCTCAAACTCACCTAAGGGCCTCCATATCCAAAACACCAAAATTCCATTATGACTTTGGAAAAATGTTACAAACTCTTTGTACCATGTACTTTCATTTTATAACATCAAGTTCAGTTGAACTAATGAAATTTCATTTCGCAGTTTAGGTGTTGCTTCAAAGTTAGATTTCAAATTATGATACAAGGCTCAAACCTTGAGCAAGTGGACCCACCTATTACCCCTCGACCACTCCGCAAGGACTATTAGAGCACTTCCAGCAGTTAGCCCCTTGCCATGGCAGGGGGGAGGGGGGGGTAGTGCAGCTACTATTCACATGAATAGTAGCTGCCCTTGCAAAAAGCAATGTTGGTTTTCAGCAGTTGCCATGGCAAAGGGCAAACAATATTCATTTTTTTGTTTTTTTTCACAAATTTGTTTACCTAAATAATTAATTTAGACAATATTTTCCGATTAGATTTTTGGGTTCCTACGTGTCAATATTATTCATATCTCATAATCAGATAAAATTTTCGTATAAGATTTTCGGTTTCAAATTTCAGATAAATTTCAAATTTCAATGAAATTTCATCTGAATTTCAAATTTCAGATAAATTTCATCGCTTTTGCCAAGGCATCTCTCCATTTCCCTAACTTTTTATTGAGAATTTTCCACCTACTAGACAATGCCATTTCTATACGGGTCGAACTTGATCGTTCACAAAATTTGGAATGAATTTTTTTCCACATATGAAAAAATTTCATCTCATTACCCGAGACGGAACAATGAGAAATTTGGACCCAACACTCACACAACAAAACATCTTCCATGGTGCTCCATGCCCCAACACCGTCGATAGAAGAAGCTATAAATATGATAAAGAAAAATAAAACTTGAAAGTGAATAAAATGTTGAGTAAAAAGTGAATAATAGTAGAAGTAGAAGAAAATGTATGAGGATTTGGTGTTAAAAGTGAAGAGTATAGGTAGGTATTTATAGGAAAAAATTCCAGTATTTTTTGGTATTCTTTTTATAAAAAAATCAAAAAAATTTTCTTCATATTTTTATTGCAAAAATATTGGCTGCCGTTGGATTTGAGGAGAGAATCACGATCAGAGCGCTCAGACGACGCCACGTGTCCCAGAGTCGTTGGCCCAGTGCATGGCTGACGTAAGCGATGACGTCATCGCGCAGAGTTCAAATTCTTTTACCATTGGCGTGTGCAATTTGAACTCTGTGCGCTGAGGTCATCATTTTGGATCTTGGGCTCGACCTGCCCTTGGGCTAGCCCGTCTTCGTGGCCCCCACCTCCTGCCCTGGCTAGCATTAACTGCTGGAATCGATTTTTTGGCCCTAACCCCCCCCCAGCCCGAGTCCAGCCTTAGCTATTGGACTTGCTCTTAGACTCAGGCACATGACACTAAAAAATAACAAACAAGTTTCAAACATCTTTTATGTTATTTTTTTTATTTGAAAACTGAAAACAGTTACCAAACAAGTTTATTGTTCTTAGTTTTTTACAAATGAAAACTGAAAATGGATAACTAAGAGCCCGTTTGATAACTATTTCAATTTTAGTTTTTAGTTTTTATTATTATTTTTTGGCTATAATATAGAGGAAAATAAGAGTGAGAATGAGAGTGAAGGAAGAGTTTGAGAGGGGAGGATAGGAGGGAGGAGTAACAAAAGTGAAAACAATTTCAAATAGAATTTTGTTTTTAGATTTTGTTTTCACTTTTGTTACTTCTCCCTCCCATCATTCTCTCTCAATTTCATCTTCACTCTCATTCTCACTTCCATTCTTTATCTTTTCCTTCTATACTTTAGCATAAAAAATGAAAACTAAAAACTAAAAACTAAAATTGAAATAGTTATCAAACTCATCCTATATTTATCCTTTTTTACCTCCCAAAATTCATTTCACTTAAAAGTAGGTTCGTTCATATTTTTACTTGGCTTTGTGCATACACATGTTGACACTTCTGGTGCCCATGATGTGGAGGCCTCTTTGATCATGCCGCTTGATCGTTTTACACCTCTCAATCCTTGGCATAGATGAGTTTCAAACCATGGTTTATTCGTGTGTGTCACTCTATTTTCTTCTTTTGTCTATCTTGGCGGATAGGAGCTTTTATTGATTGATGTTATAAATTTGTATTGCTTTTAGGTGTCTTGTTGGGCCTGGCTAGGCCCTTGAGTTTGCGCGTTTCTAGTCTCCTCAATTTCTCTTGTAGATGCTTCTATTAATGATTCTTATTGCACTCAAGGTCTTGGAAGAGAGCTCAAAGCAAGCGGCATTCGTATTTCATATTTCCCAACACAAAACAAACAACAAAACAAAACCCAGAAAGGAAAAAGATAATTAAACATCCGATTACACCAAGATCATTAATTTGGAACAACAAAACCCCAATTCATTCAAGCATGAAATTAAATCAATTAGGACCATGAGGGGCAAAGTTGAGCAATTGCTTGGAATGAAGCCATGGCTTCACGACCACTTCCGAATCAAACAGCATGTGGGCCCCATTCCTGACGGCGGAGACCTTGAGATAGTATTTGATCCCAGAAACCACCTGGCTCTGCGCCTCCACTACCTCCAAGAACTGAAGCCCTCCTCCGCCGCCGTTGCTCTGGTGGCTCTTCTGCTGCCTTCGGTTGTACTCCGCCACCGAAAACCTCCCCAAATTCTGAACCTCCTTGTTCGTCTTCACGTCTTCGATCTGCTGCCTGCCACCGACCTTGGTTCCTCCATACCCATTTGACAAAGCGAACAGGAGGCAGATCAGAAGGGCCAAAATCGGAACTTTCATCATCTTCGGGTGTGTTTATAGGCGAAATTGGTGAATTTGTTGATGGGTTTTTGGCTGTGAAAAACTGAAAGATTTTGTTGTTGAGGATGGGGATTGTATTGGGTGGGTAGTTATATAAGGGACTGTTTGGGCGGGGCCTGTGTGAGAAAAGGGTTTGGACACGCAAAATAAGAAGGTGGATGGATTCATTTACAACACAAACGGCGTGCCGCGTCTTTTTTACAATACGCTTTAGTTTGTTGGGAAAACGACATCTTTCAAACACCTACGTGTACGCCCAGTGACTGAATGAAACTCACAGAGAGAGAGAGAGAGAGAGAGAGAGAGAGTTTTGATGGGATTCTCTTTCTCTCTCTTTAAAATTTGCTTTTTTGGGACATCAAAATTCATTTCACGTGGTTTCCGCTTGAAGCAGCTGTTTGACAGATGACCATTTTTGCCATCTCCGTAATTTCAATTTTATTAATTTTATTCATATAATTTTAAATATTTGGGAATTCAATAATACATTATAAATTCGGTTAAATTTATTCTAATTCCGTTTCAAATACCCATCTATGTCAACGACACGCTTTCATATTATCACAAAAGTGGATGAAACTTTAAATATGTCCTTAAATTACGAGAATATCAAACTATTGGAGTCCAATTGCAATACCTAAAAGTGGAAAATCCGACAAATTATAAAGAATAAAAGTGAGATTTTTTTGGGGCTAAAATCACGAAAGTTGATGAGCACATCCACTGTTATTATTTTGATTCTTATCGTCTCGGGTTTTGCCGCTTGTGGAGGTGTGTAGTATGGGACTGTGGAGTGTGGAGTGTGCTGGCATGGCAGGGTGAGTTTTGTTTTTATGTGTGATCATCACACTAAGTATGAGAGGGTGACACGAGTTGGGTAAGTGCCACGTAGGAGAATGCATGCTTGCAACTTGCATAGCTTTTGTGTTGTGCTGTAGAGTGGAAAGAGAAGTGTTTTTATGGGGAGGAAAAAGCCAAAACGCACGGCGAATCCGTTTCAAAGCGTTACCTGAGGCCTTGTTTGTGGGCCGGACTAAACTGCTTTAGATTGGGCTGGTTTGGCCTTGCCTTAATTTTCAGTTTATTTGGTTTATTTGGTACAACCAAGAATTCTGTAGTGAGGGCCTATAGAAGGACTCATTAGATCAAATTGGTTAGTCTGATTTAAAGGTTAAGAGATAATACCTCACTTAAGGGCCAGATATAAAGCCCTCGCTATAGAATGACTCCATGGTACAATATTAAGTTGGACCGAACTGCCAATGAAGTCTAATCCAATAAAAAAAGGTATTGACTTGCAAACCAGAGATCCTAAGTTCGAACCCCATAACATAATAATTATGTGTGTGTGAGAGAAATTCTCCTCCCATGTAATTTAGACTATCGCTTGTATTCGGAAAAAAAAACATATCACTTGTACTAATACCTATCTACACCATCATCTAATGTATTGAACGCACACTTTTATCAGTTCAATAAATAAAGTAAGTAATGAAATCAAGAGTAGAACTAGCAATTGTTCAATGGGTGAGCTAACTAAAGTTACTAGCTTAAACTCTAATGAATTTTTTTTTTTTTTTTTTTGTATTTATAGTTTCTATATATATATTTTTTATAGAAATAAAAGTATATATTAAAACATATAAACCACGCTAGTTCATAGTTTAATTGACTAATTTTGAAATATATTTTGAACATTGTGGAAATGTAGAAAAGAAAACCAAAGACTATTGCTCAACACATGTTACAGCTGACCAGCTTCGTTATTAAGAAACAAACATGACTTTTTTGTTATTTGAAAAAAGAAATAATATTTTATTGCATATAACAATAAAATGCAGGGGTGCCCAAGATGGCCACAGAAAGAAAACTAACAGAGATATAACAGTTACACAAACAAACCCTAAACTTGAAGAAAAAGAAAGCCATGGAAACTAGCAAATGGTGGCTTTCCATTCCATCTACTAGCCAATGAATCCAAAAAGATACGCTCAAGTTCAGACTTGTAGGGTTCAGTTTGTTTCAGTCCATCGCAAAGTGCTCCAATAGCAAGAAGAGCACCATCTTTTTGTCGATATGGCTTGCATTCCACTGGCGCTTCATCATACCTAGATCAGGAAACAAGAAACTTATGAGGAAAAAAAACCAATGTCAAAGCACCAAAATGTACGTATCGTTTTCAAAAGATTATGAAAAGCTACCACTTAAAAATTTCGACAATGAACTGAATGAACTTATGAAGATTTTCCTTTCCACGTTTCCTAACCAACTCACTCACAAAATCCATGGAAGCTGTCCTGGGACTGTATAAGTCTTCAATGATATCTGCACCAGCAAGAAGACAGATAAATCACCAACGAAACAGAGATCATCAAGCAATAAAACGAGATAGTGAAGACTGACCATAACCCTTCCTGACATATTCATGTGGGTCTTCATCCCAAAGCTTTAGATCATTGTCATTGAAGCACATAAGGGGAAAAACAATCTCAAAAAGAAGAACATCAAAGTCGAGGTTGCAGCAGCTTATACATGCTATTCTTCGAGATACTGCATATGCATATTTAACAAATGAGAGGTTAGGGAGACACCAAATTGTTTACACATATCTCAACACTAGAACAGTACAATAAGAAATTCACAAGTTAATTAACAAATATAACATAGCTGTAAACACAAAGTTCCCATAGAAGGTTGACAGTACAAAATACACCACTCAACAACACAAGAAGACCCCCACACAGTTTAAGTGTGTGAGGAGTGTTGGGGTTGTGAGGAGTTAACATAGAGAGAGTGAGGTGGAAGCAGTTCTAGATGAGTTAACACAGAGAGAGTGAGGTGGAAGCAGTTCTATCTCCTTTCAAACATGGGGTAAAATCAGCACCTAATAAGACAAAACAAAACGAAATAAAAGGACTTAACCTATGAGGAACAAAATTGCCCACCTATTGCTCAAATACTGAAGAACGAGATTGATAACTCTGTCAGGTAAGTAGCCACCAGTTCGGATCACATTCAACAAATTTAAGTGACACTCCAGAATCTTCCCAGCATAATTCTTCTGAAACATTTGAGCGACTGCTCTGTTTTCTGGGTTTTGAAGCTTTAAATCTCCAAACCTAGGGATCAACATGTAAAAAGAGATGAAATGTCAGAAATATGCTTTAAAATGTAAGCCACAGTTCTTGTTCAGTTTTTATTTAATCTAAGAGTTTACCGAGTGTACAGCCGATTTAATATATCATCCAAGCATTGAACGCATTTGCATCAAATAGTTGCTTTGGAATCTCCAGCTGAAAAGAGGCGCCAAAAAATTATATGTAAATAATTCTAGTCTAGAATTTATCTATACTATTAGATATAAATGATTCCTTTGACCTCTAATTTTTTTCTGAATCAATAGTAATAAAGGTTGGAAAGGTCTCCTTGAAAAATTTCAAATCCTATCAAGTACTCACTATAACCAAAATGGACACATTCTGAATTTAAAATAAAATAAAATAAACATAAAACCTGATAACTAAAAAAGGAACAAAACTATAAATCCTTCGTATCACCTATTAATATCCATGTAACCAACACAAACTTGACACTTGAATCCACTACAGAAGCACAATGAAAAAATCTCTGTCCAGAACATATATGCATGGATGACCAGAAAATTGTGCAGCCACTTCCAGTGTTGGGTTAGGAATTTGGACAAGCCTGCTGAATATATTGAGCAGAGGCGCGAATGTCTCCTCAACAATGCGATAAACTGGGGTCCTCTCCTCATCAGATTTGAACCTAATAATATAAATAACAAGACAAATTTCATTACTAAATCTGAAGGTACACATCACGCCAATATTAAAATTGGAAGGCTTCTCCTTTGCTCTTCGAGACTCAGAATAACTAGAATCATTACATATTAATAATTAATGAAAAAAACAATTTTTCGTAACATGGTTAACATAACAGCTTCTGAAAAGCACGGAGACCATGTTATAGAGAACAAACAAAAACGGCAGATAATTTTTAATGTCTGTTCAGTCACATTTGGGTGCACAGTGGTTTCAACTACTTATAAATTATTAAAAAATATATATTATGAAAATAGCTGAAAAAGTGAGAACTTCTGTATCTGCCAGTAGTTCTGATCTGCATCACAAGTAAGATTTGGATATTGCTTCCTGAATAAATTGAAGATAAGAGCAGATAGTACAAACTATAAGGAATATGCAACTTAGATAATCATTCTAATCACTGGAGCAGATGACATTCGCAATATCATCCGTGAGTGCAATCTGTGATACGATAGAAAGAGAAATATAATAAATAAGTAATTCTCTTAAATACTGATACTGATACTGTACTGTACTCCATGTAGTTGATGACATTGACCATAAGTATAGTCTTGAGGAAGTAACGGAATGTGAATTAGAGAATGACAAGCATTGCTCTGAATTTTGAATGGAACAATGGTGGTCCAGAAAAATACATAAAATCTAGCCAGGATACTTCAATAATCCTATATTTCTACATCTACCTATAAATAACTGAAATAGAAAACAAAATTATAGCAATACTACAGAAAGTACCTTAACAATGGGGGAACTTGTGAAACAAAGACTAGAATGTGATCCCTCACCGCGTCTTTATCACTCACTCTGCGATATCTTCTGCTGCTCATCTACATCAACACGCAAAGAATAAGCAACCGGAATCACCAGCGGGGCTAGGATACTAGCTAAAAACACAATCATGACATACCGGGATCAAGCGGTGACCAATTCTTCACAATGAAATTCTTCTTGAAGTGGATACTGCCAACTTGCCGCACAGCCATGTCACAATTGCCATCGACTATAATTTGCAACAGTCTCACCAAATGCTGTGGTGTGTACTGAAACTGTAAAAGAAAATCCAACATCAAAGATGACATCAGAGGAGAAGGGGAAAAAAAACACAATCGCACATACACAAAAGAAAGTCATTTCTACGCATCTATTATCGACTCACTATAATTCATCACACAAAAAAGTCAACATAAAACTCAAAACTAAATATAAATCCTCATATCTCTAATAAGTTCTCAGAATCACTTCTATTCTTTTCAAAAGCAAGTAACCCTATCAAAATGCACAATCAAGGTCAATTCTGATCACTCACAATTATGCATCAAAATTATATCCAATTAACCAAAAATTTGGCAAAATAGCTTCGACACAAGGCATTACATGAAAATTTCATTCAAACAATAACAAACCTGATTGAGGCTTTGCTCGGAAGATACATATCCGGATAATTGACGATCGGAAGTCTAATTTGATCAGAATTCGACGATCAGATTGATCCGAATCTAAACCATAGCAGGAAAATGTATATGCGAATGGGAAGAGTAGTGACGACTTACTAGGCTTTAGACAACTTGCGGAGAGAGACAGCTAGAGGAGTGTGCTGCGATTTCAGGGTTGTTTTTGTTTTTTTTTATTTGTAAGGAATACAGTCCCTATCTCTTGGACCACAGGAGTCCAAGAGATTGTGGTCACCCACCGTTGGATATTAATCCAATGGTTCAAAAAAGTTTCTTAAAAAGAGTGCAAGAGTGAGTGAACCGTGGAATTTATATCCAACGGTGAGTGATCACAAATCTCTTGGACCCTAAAATAAACTACAACCGGAAGCCACGCGGGCACGCAGGCCCCACCAAGCCAAAAAGAGATTGTGGTCACCCACCGTTGAATATTAATCCAATGGTTCAAAAAAGTTTCTTAAAAGGAGTGCAAGAGTGAGTGAACCGTAGAATTTATATCCAACGGTGAGTGATCACAAATCTCTTGGACCCTAAAATAAACTACAACCGGAAGCCACGCGGGCACGCAGGCCCCACCAAGCCAAAATAAAACGGAACCGAACAACTTAGAGGAAGCCCACGATCCCACAACCGGGAAGGGGCAAGATTATGGCCTAAACTAGCAACAACATCTGCAGTAAAATTAGCCTCCCGAAAGATGTGCTGAAAAGAAATCTCCTCACAATAAGAACTCAGCACCCAAATGTCTTGCACAAGGAGACTAATGCTCCAGGGAATCGAAGCCACATTGTTGACATAGTCAATGATTAGCTTTGAATCACCTTCCACCAGGATCTTCCTCCATCCATTATGAATAGCATGAGCCAGGCCATCCCGAAGAGCCAAACACTCCACAACTGTAATTGACATTTGACCTGAGTTTTTAGCACAAGCTAACCGGACATTACCATCCAGTCACGAATCACAAAACCAGTTGCAGCCAAATTTCCACGCACTGAACCATCAAAATTCACTTTAATCCAATCTAGAGGTGGAGGCTTCCACTTGATGTTAATTAACCCATTGGGCTTCTGAGGAAGACACGAGTTAATTTTCCAGTAATCCAACCCAATGCGCCCAGCCACAAGAAGGGCTCTAGCTGGGTGCGGCACAATATCTTTAAAAACACAATTGTTCCTAGCTTCCCAGATCTGCCAGCAAAGAAGAAGAGTTTTAGATAGAACATTAGGGCCATCTGGAGCCTTAGTATGAGGTAGCATAGCCAACCATTCAAGACCATCAAAATTCTGTTGAGCATCTTTGGGGAAAAAATGCGTGCATCTCCAAATGTTCATTGCAAATTGACATTCAAAAAATAAGTGGTTAATAGTTTCCATATGATTCTTACAAAGAGGGCATTCTAGATTGATATTGGGTAAATATTTGTATAGATGGCTTCGAACTTGTAGTCTTTTCCTGATAAGAAGCCATGAAAAAATCTTGACTTTGGGGGGGAGAGTTAAACTCCACATTTTCTTCAAAAGGGGGGCCTTTGGGTGACTCTGCTCATCCTGCAATTGTAAATTGTAAGCAGATTTTATAGAGAACTTTCCATTGGGGTTTGGCCCCCAGATTAACTTATCCTGCAGAGGGGATAAAGGCAAAGGAATGGTTAAATTTTTTTCTATAATATCATCATCAATCACTTGAGAGAGCTTGTCCTGTTGCCAAACCTGGTTCTGAATAAAATCTGACACTTTAGCATTCAAATTCAGATTATTTCTCAGAAAGACAGGAATTAAATCTAATAAAGGAAAAGGAAAGACCCAATTAGTGGTCCAGAAAGGGATGGAGTGACCATTACCAACAATCCATCTTATACCTTTGTGAAGCACGGAACGCGCATCAAGGATGGCTTTCCAAGCTGACGAATGCGAAGTCTTTTTAGCAACCTCAAGAAAACCATCCTTCTTTAGGTACTTCTTAGCCATGATCTGAGCCCACCAATTGGAAGAATTAGTTAAACAGATCCAGCCTAATTTTGCTAAAGCAGCCTGGTTAAAGTGGTCTGCAGATCGGACCCCAAGCCCTCCCAAATTTTGAGGCAAACAGATGTCTTTCCAAGCAACATGGGGGACTTTAGTATTATTGCCCTAGAAGAAACGTCTTCAACATGAATTCATTTCCTTGCAGACTTGTTTAGGACATTTGAAACACAATAGCATGTGGTTGGGGACACCCATGACACTAGCCTTAATTAGAGTGAGCCGTCCCGCCCTAGATAAAGTTTGAGCCTTCCAGCCGGCAAGCTTGTACCTAATTCTATCTATCATTAATTTGGCATTATTAGGATCTTTCCAAAAGATGATATTATGAATGCCTAGATAACAACCAAGGATGGTTTTATGTTGAATCTGCAAAAGGTTGCTCAGAGCACTCCGAGCTTGAGAAAGGACTTTACCCGAAAAATAGACGGTGGACTTATGCAAATTTATTTTCTGCCCTGACACTTTGGAAAATTTATCCAACAAGTGATTGACTATCATTAATTTGGCATTATTAGGATCTTTCCAAAAGATGATATGATGAATGCCTAGATAACGACCAAGGATGGTTTATGTTGAATCTGCAAAAGGTTGCTCAGAGCACTCCGAGCTTGAGAAAGGACATTACCCGAAAAATAGACGGTGGACTTATGCAAATTTATTTTCTGCCCTGACACTTTGGAAAATTTATCCAACAAGTGATTGATATTTCTGGCAGCTACAGCCGTAGACCTGGCAAAAATGAGACAGTCATCAGAAAAAAGCAGGTTAGAAATCCGGTCACCTCCCTGGGAAGAGAGGAGACCAACATTAGATTTAGGATTCTGAGCTAGCAAATTAAAGTGCCTTATAAAAGGCTCCATGCAAAGAATGAAGATGTAAGGAGATAGAGGATCGCCTTGACGAATTCCTCTAGAAGCCTTAAAATGGCCATAAGGAGCACCATTAATCAACATAGAAAAAGAAGTATTTGAAACACAATTCATAATACGATCACACCAATAAATACTAAAGCCAAATTGAGCCAGGCACCCTCTAATGTAATCCCAATCAAGGAAATCATAGGCTTTTTCAAGGTCAAGCTTAATAGCCATAGCACCCCTAGAGCCTTTCTTACGCTTAAAGTCATGGAACAATTCATGAGCAATAAGGATGTTGTCAAAAATGGATCTTCCAGGGGCGAAGGCTCCTTGATTTTGGAAATGCACTTCGAAAGAATAGGCCTAAGCCGATTAACAAGGATTTTAGTTATGATCTTGTAAGAGACATTGCATAAACTAATCGGTCTAAACTGGTTAACCGACTCAGGAGAGGCTACTTTGGGAATGAGGGCTATGTTGGTATGGTTAATTTCCTGTAAAGGGATGTTGTTAGTAATAAAATCATTGACTATACTTTTCACCAAATGTTTAGTATTTTCCCAACATTTCTGGTAGAAAACCGCTTGTAAACCATCTGGTCCAGGAGCTTTGAGAGGGCCAATACTCTTTATAGCACACTTTAATTCAAAATCTGAGACGAGAGCCAAGAGATTCTCATTATCTGAATTAGTGGCACAAGGCTCAATCACTTGGAGGAAATCCGACATCAGGTAACGACTTGGGGGCTGCTCAGCCTTAAATCTCAGTTTAAAAGCTTGAATGAAAGCATCCGGAAGGGTTTCACCTTCCACCCAAATGCCATTCAGATCCATGATTCTAAGAATTTGGTTGCGTTTTCTCCTTATGAGGGCTTGGGTGTGAAAATATTTGGTATTTTTGTCACCCAACTAGAGCCAGTTAGCTCTAGCTTTTTGGGCATAGAAAACCTCTTCCTGTTCAAGCAAAATTTTCAGCTCAGTGTTTAAGTTTAAGTCTTGTTCTAAAAGGAAAGGGTCAGAGGGATTTTGAGCCAATTGCTCTTGGATTAAAGCTAAGTTGTCTCGGGTGATTCTAAGTTTATGGAACAGGTCTCCAAACACACTTCTATTCCAAGTTTTAAGTTGGTGCTTGAAGGTGTTACAGCAGGTTTGAATCTGCTGGGTAGCATTACCAACATAGGAGCAATTCCAAACTTGGGAAATGACTTGGTTAAAATCCTTGTGGGCTAGCCACATGGCTTCAAACTTAAAGGCTTTAGGGATTCTACTCGAGGGTTGGTTGCACTTTAGGAAAATGGGGCCATGATCAGATCTCACAATAGGTAAGTTTTGGAGTTCAGAATGAGGGTGGAGCCTCATCCAATCCGAGTTAGCAAGGGCACGGTCTAATCTTTCGAAGATAATGGTGTTATCACGATGCCCATTACACCAAGTAAAAGGAACACCAGAAGCAGTCATGGAAACCACTTCACAGTCATCTATAAACTTGTTGAAATTTCTTATGGTTTGAGAATTTTCAAGAGAACCACCCACCTTTTCATTTAAAGAGCAAATATTGTTAAAATCACCAAGCAAAAGCCAAGGGTGATTAATCGCTGGTTTTAAAGAAATAATCTCTCTCCAAAGATTAATCTGTTTGGTTTTTTGAGGGTAAGCATAGATGAAAGTTGTAGTCCAGCTTTTATTGGTAGTTAAATCTTGCAACTCACAGTTTATGTAACGCTCATGATAATTCAAAATACTTATATTAAAGATAGCAGGATTCCACATCAAGATAATCCCCCCACATTGGCCACTAGAGGGGATACAAAAACTACAACTAAAACCCAGCCTCTGGACCAAGGGATTGTTGCGTAGATACAGCTGTACCAAAATGGATTCAGTTGCATCCTCAACTTGTGATACTCGCAAGTGCACGAACCATTGGTAGTTTAGCGTATGTAAGTGCGAGGTCGATTCCACAGGGATTGGTGATTGAATGATCCAATTTAGTTTCCCTACACAAAACAGAAATGAAAAAGAAAGGAAATAAATAAAACAAGGAAGAAAGAAATAACTAACTCAAGCAAATAAGTTCCCAAGTTCAATTAGATTAATGGATTGGTTCTAGCTAAAGTATGATTAAGCCATGGTGTGTGGTCATAACCTTGTGTTCCTAATT